TTAGATATAGCAGTGTATGGGCCTCTGAGAAGTTATTATGGGTTTCGTGCGGCACGTGACCACATTGGAGGTGACATAACCGAAAAATTAGCGTATTTTTGAAATTTCGCCGTCTAGTTGAAATATTAGGATAGTATATGTAGACTAGGGTCAAAATACCCTCGTATTGTGCCGTTGTAGGATGTTAAAAAAATGCCGCCGAATATACAGTATGAACATAAATAAATGTCTTCATAAACTATTAAACAGCAAATCAAATAAAAATATAACTAAAACACCGAAAAAATATCAAAAGAAAAAAGCATGACACTCCAACTCCATATAAACAAATGGGATAAGGTAAGGTTGTCTTACCTCCAGTGTCAATTTAGTGACGTCACGTGCACGAAACCAATAATCAGGCAATGCGAAGATGGTTATCAGCTCATCCACGACGTGCAATTACCCATCACGCAGTCGGAGAATTATTTAATGATGCTTACTCAAAGGCAGCTAGTGTATCCAATGCTCAAAGTGGTTTTTCAAAAACAAAAATATATGTCCTTTTGATAATGACATCTTCCCCATATGGATGTTTGAACCGGCGGAAACCACAAATATCCCGGTTATTAACGAAGCTTTAGCTCGAAATTAAGTGCAACTTCCCAATGAAGAGCAACCTCCCACTGAACTGAAGACCAATCTCCCAATGAAAACCGACCTCCTAATGAAGGCCGAACTCCCCAATGAAGACCGACCTTCCAATGAAGATCCCAGGATCTTCTGAGGCCACTGTCTTGATTGATAAGAACGAAATTTCTTTAAGCGACTTTTCCAAGAAATTTATTAATGAATTATCTCCAAAGCCCCAGGGTGGGAAAAGAAAATATCCTCAAGAGACGAAAAGTCAAAAAAGGCTCAAATTCAACTCCAGAAATTCCAGCCCTTCACGAAAAAGAAAACGAAATAAGAGAAAAAGAACGAAGAGAGTCAGCAAGAAAAGTCAAAAGAAAAGTTGAATTACCATCAGACAGTGATGATGAAGGCACTTCTAATAATATCCTAGAATCTGATGATGACGACGACCCTTCTTGCATTTCTTGCAATTCCCTATACTCACATTCACGATGGCGGGAAAATTGGATTCGATGTCAAAGTCGCAAGAAGTGGACCCACACTGAATGTGCTGGGGTCAGCCCCAAAAGCAAATCTTTCATTTGCGAACTATGTATTTAGTTCTTCACGTTTTTATTTTGTTTGTGTTATTTTTTATGTGAATATGTTTTTGGTTATTTATGTTCTTATCAGAAAAACATTCCTTTATAGGTTGTTAGAATGTTTTTTTATTTCTTAAATAAATATATTCGATATTTTTAAAACCAGTAAAATTTCTTAGTAACCGTTTTTAAATTATCGACTGTTAAAAAATTATATGCCATCACAGCCGGATCTCCCCTAAGGGAAGTCATAAACCTGACAGTATTCGACATGATAACTGACTATGCACTTTCCAAATACTCAGCTGACATATCCTTCCAAGTCCTACTTAGTGAAAGGGAGGAATGGGAAAACCAACATGCAGAGGCCAGACCTAGACCTAGTACTCGGAAGGGTCATAGACTGAGAATGGTACAGGCGTAGGAATCTACAGTCAAGAAGGAAGATGCGAGGCCTTCTTCTCTCTAGGGTCACATACATCTGCTTTCCAGGCAGAGGTATATACAATATTACAATTCGCAAAAATCAACATTATGAGGGCCTGCAAAGACAGGAGGCTCATTTTACTCACAGACAGTCAGGTAGCACTGTGGGCATTGAAGAACCCTAAGGCACACTCTGCACTGGTAATAGAATGCCGAGAAGAACTCAACAACATGGCGGACCAAAATAACGTCACATTGATATCCCGGCATCCCGGGTAACGAAAAGGCTGACGAACTGGCATGTAGAGGTCATCCACAGAACACCTTGGTTCCGAGCCAGCTCTCGGAGTGCCCAAAAGCACAGTAATAAAGAAGCTGCAGGAAAGGATCAAAGCAAAACATGCTCAATACTGAAAGCAAATACCCAAGCATGCACATGGGAAAATCTTCATACGTGAGACATGCAGCAAAAAATCAGAAATACTGCTACAACTAAGCAGGAATCAACTCAGAGTAGCAACCGGCTTTCTTACTGGACATGCCCCACTAAAGAAGCACCTGCAAACAATGGTCTTGTACAACGGAGACACAAGCTGCAGAA